GAGGCGTTGGATTTGCCCGAGTCGCTGCTCACTGAGAGTGTGTGCTCGACGTGGTTGGGCGCTGCCGAGAGCGGGAGGCGGGCGGTGTTGACGGCACCGGTGCTGCCGTGAAGGGAGTCTTTCTTCTTCACTTTAGCGTAGAGGCTCCCATCCAGGGGCCCTTGCGTGTGCCCAACCTCTGCAAGGGGAGAAACGAACACGAGACCCCAGATCAATTGCTGGCTCTCTGCACGGAGCTAATGGGTCCCATTAGCCGGTGGTTTCGATCTCTTCCGTGCCGCCAGAACGCTTAACGATCAGCATCGCTTGCCCTTCCTCTCCATGGCTGGCAAGGGCCGGGGGTGCCCACACGGTCGGCTGTTGCTTCACCCCTGCCCCGCCGCTCCGCAGGGCTCAGCCGGCCCGAAGGGCCCACACGGCACCGGGGAAGAGAACAAGGAGGGTGAGGGAGATGCACCACGGGCCGCAGGAGGACAGGCAGAGGCGGTCAGGATCTGGCCTTGTAGCTCTGCATGTCTCCAGCTGGATGGATGTACTCAGCCCCCGGGTGAAGGACAGATGAACCACAGACCCACCTTCCCCCTCCCTGCCCGCTCTCCTCCCAGATGATGCACAGATCCAGCCAGCAGCCCATCCTTGACATTTTCTTCCCTGGCTACAGACAGGCTCCCACCCTTTCTCTCCTTTCCCTTCCCTCCCTCTGCCTGGGTGGATCTGCCCCAGACCTCTCCTCACTGCGGGACGCTGCCCTGAAGCTCCCGTACAGGCAGTGCCTCTGCCCAACCCCAAACACTCTCCAGGAAGGCACCGAGCACCCCGACCCCACGATTCAAGGCAGCTGGATCCATGTCGCAGCCCCAAAAGGCTGGGGGGCAGCTGGGGTACAGTAGCATCACCCCCGGTAACCTTGCACCCCAGCTCCGAGTCCCCCAGCTCCCACCAGCCCCTGGCAGCCCCAACACCACAACCAGCTGCACCCTTTAAACCTTTCCAAACAGGGCAGCCAGATTTCGGGGGCACAGAGGGACCCCAGCCACCGAGACAGCAATGGGGACGGCCCCCAAACCTTGTCCCCCCAGCTGGAGTGTGCACGGCACAGGCTGGGCTGCAGACTCCTGTTTTTCCAGCTCCCTGACGAGGTTTCCTGGAAGGGCCCGCGAGCAGCGTTAAACACTTTCTTTTGGAGGAAAAAATGACTCTTCCCTGGCGGGGGGCCAGGTAGCTGACTCAGGGACGGAAGACGGCCCTAACGCGATAGTGTGAAATCAGAGCGCTCCTATCTGTGAGCAAAACACTTCCGAAAGCCAGCCCTGAGCCGGGACAGCTTAACCAGTCCCACACCGCAGCGCCCGTGCTCCAGCAGCTCCCGCGTCACCGACCACCCTCACTGTACAGCACAGGGGGACCACAACACCCAGCATGAGTCCTGCCAAGTCAGGGCCCCCTCCTCCCCACTGATTTTCCACTCCTGAATCCCCAACAGCAGCATCCCAAGGGGGCAGCCAAGCCCCAAAGTCCCCCCTTGGCTTGAAGATGCCCCATGACCATGCAGTGAGGTCCTCTCTGGGCACTCGGTGCAATAAAGGATGAGGATGGGGTCCACAATTTCTCCCGGAGACTCAGAGCTCCTTCACCCAGTCAGTGTAGCTAGGAACCAGCAGCATTTGACTCTGCAACAGCTCCCATACAGGGGAAAAGGGGGAGAGAGGGAGGGAATCCCTTCCCGCAGAGGGAGAAAGGAAAAGCAGCATGTCCAGGGGCAGTGTCAATGCCAGAGAGGCCAAGACAGCAGCTGGAGCCAGGCTGTCGCCCAGCCCTCCTGCCTGATGGCAGCAATGGGTGCTGGCCGGTCCCAGGAAACAGGGCAAGAGCCAGGGTGGGGGCTGGAATAAATAAGGCAGGGGAATAGAAAGGAAAAGGGAATACATAAATATAAATGAAAGCACGTGGCACCAAGGGAGAAAATAGCTGGGAAAGGCTTTAATTAGACTGTGGGCTGGGCATCGTCCCACGTCTGGGAGAAACATCTCGAAAGTGGGGTCAGGATGAGGCACGACGCAGTTGAAGGCAGAGCCAGAAAGCCCTGAGCACCCCGTTCCACCTTCCCCAGACCCTCCGGCCAGGCGGGGACATGGGGGGTTTGATGGCCCCAACCCCAAGGGCTGTACACGACACCTCCACCACCAGCCAGGCCCTCGTCCCACAGCTGCTCTGCCCCACACCTGACTGCCCACCCTGTCCTCATCCCCTGGGCTCTGATACCAAGAGGCAAATCCTGCTATTCCCCACCACTTCCAGGACCACCCCCCGCCAAGGCCACGCTATTGCTTATCCAGCTGCCCATCACTTCTCACTTGAGAAGTTTAATAAAACCCCAACAAAAGGGCAAGGGAAGCAGGGACAGGCTGACTTAGCCGAAGGAGCCACCCCCAGAGCTGCAGGCTCCCGGGTCCTCATTTGCAGCTCCCACCAAGGTCAGATTTCGTCCCTGAAGGTCAGAGAAGCTCCAGCCTGGCAGGCTGTGCCATCCCAGCGTGGGTTGGGTTGGCCCAGGGCTCAGCCCCGGGCACAGCTCTGCTCCGGCTCTATCTGCTCTGGCTGTACCGAGGAGGCTGGGGGAAGCGCTGAGCCCCAGCCTGGCCCTACCCCTGCTGCCAGGCTCGCTGCCCCAGCAGGGCAACGCTCTGCTCTCTCCCTCCCCAGCACCCTGTGGCTATGTCTGGGAGAAAAACTGGTCCAGGGTATGCGTGACAACAGGAAGGGGGGTCAGCTCGCATTCCAAAATCCCAGCCACCCACCTCTCACCCAATGAGGTGCACCACGCAGCATCATGCACCAGCACAAATCCTGGCCGGGGCTCTGCACCAGTGCAGAGGATAAAGCTGGGGCACCACTGTGCCTCCCCCAGTCCTGCCCCCAGCAGCAGCCCACCTGCTGCCTCCGCTCCCCACCACCCAGAGCCCTGGCCCTGGGGCGTCTGGAGTGTCAGCCAGTAGGGAAGATCCTGGCGTCCCAGGACCCTTCATAGAATGAAGGATGCAGGCTGAGTCCCACAGGGAAGCGCTCAGTCCCTCCAGCTCTGGTTTCATCCAGTGCCCAGATATGATGGCAAGAAGTAACACCAGCCCCTGCGCCGTAGGTCACCACGGCCATGAATTTCCCACCCAGTCCCAGCCCTTTCCACCATCCCGACCGGCTCAAAGAAAAGCAAAGTCAGGACTTACCAAAGGGTATGGGGAAGAAAAGATCCCAGGCGAGGAGAAGGAGTGGGCAGCAAAATCCCTTTCCTTCGCTCCTTCCAGCACCAGAGCTTTCCAGGGGGACCTGACGCGGTGGCAGCTCGAGTGGCGTCCGCAGCCAGCTCCGTG